ACAATTGTATGCAATTCAGTGCAACACTTATTCTGCCTTAACATCTGTGTTTCTGAAGCACAAAATGTTTGTTTTTGCTGAAATTGTCAGAAATGTATAAATTAAATGATATGTTTATTATTGAGGTCATAGTTAAAGGTGGTGTTGTACTGGACTGCATCATATTCAGAGGTGTTCCTAATATTCTGACCCTGTCATGTATGTAACTGGGGAGGACAAAAGTATAGAGACAGGTGTAGGTGTGTGTGTGTGTGTGTGTAAAACAGGCATCTATCCTAACACAGGTGGTCCAGTTTGTCTGAAATGGTTTGCCTGGCCTTTAGCTTCTGGAAAGAGCAAAGTGATGATTTGCAGTCATGCTTTATTGTTCTGTTGCTTTTGAAGTGCTCACTGTTTCCTGTTATAAAGAACATTTGTCATTGCTGTTTGATAAACCCTATTTTGCAGAGTTATTGTTGGCAAGTTACATTACAGTATAAACTTTAGGCAGGAGTCACCCCAAAACCGCTTTTTGGGCTTTTCCACCAGGCAGTTTCCGGGCTTTGCTCACATCCACCAATAGAAGATTATAACGCACACTGTGCTCTCCTGCTGTGGCGACTGTGAATGCCCGCTAGATTTGGGCCATGCTTTGATGAGTCAGCCTTCCACTGATCTCCTGTCACTTCCTCATCTGTCATGGTCATCAGAACCTTGAAAATCCTAGAGACTAAAGTGCAGAAAGGTGTGTGTGTGTGTGTATGTTTGTGTGCGTGTCATGTTGCCTTGTTGGACTGATGTTGAAGGGTGATCCAACTGTATGCTCTCCGCCCCTTGCTAGCAGCTTGCATGTCAACACAATTCAAACTGAATACTAGTGCATCCAGAGCCGTACCTATTCTCCACACTCATTTATCTCTCTCTCACATAAATTAATTTATTTGTTTTACAGACAAGTATAAATGTGTTTGTTCATTCTCTCATTCATCCATCCATCCATCCATTTTCCTCCGCTTATCCGGGACCGGGTCGCGGGGGCAGCAGTTTAAGCAAAGATGCCCAGACTTCCCTCTCTCCAGACACTTCCTCCAGCTCCTCCGGGGGAATGCCAGGCCAGCCGAGAGACATAGTCCCTCCAGCGTGTCCTGGGTCTTCCCCGGGGCCTCCTCCCGGTGGGACATGCATTCTCTCATTCATTGTAACCTTAAATCAGTGTTTTAATCTCTCAGACTCTCTGTGTGGTGGTCTTTTCACAACGTGAAATAATGATATGAAATAGAGATTTTATTTTATTTATTTATTTTTCCGGAGGCAATTGAAACGCGCCACATATATTCACACCAAACGTGGCACAAATATGAAATGTGAAGTTCTTAAAGGTCGCTCTACAAAAGTCCACATCATGCGATGACGACCTGCAGGTGCTGGTTTTGCTAAATACAAGGAGTGCATTATTGGGCCTACATCAGGATGTCTGTGGGATAGTTTGAGTTGTTGCTGCTGCCAGAGCACTTGAAGAGGCAAAGAAGTGAATACAGTGGCTCGATTGACCCAGAATAGCACCTGGCCATATGTCTGAGGTAAAATATATACTGAACACAACTTTAATAAATAGATTTAGCTGATGGTGCATCATGCACTTGTGGTAATGATGTCACAATGTTCCAGCAAGCTGCGTCATGATTGGTCACACGAGTTCTTATATGGAAAAAAAAAAATGCATGAAAATTCACCTCCAGTGTGAAAAACCTTTAACTCAGTTTCTCTCCCAAATCAGTACTGCCATGGCAGCAGTGGTGCTAGCAGCCTTAATGTGGTAGTGCATGGTTAGTAAACTGTACTCGGTCTGAAAAACAGTGGTATCGGTGCGTCCCTACTATGTAGCATTAAAGTTTTTATTTTTTTAACCTGTCAACTGTGGCATGTTATTCAAGAGGGTTTGTGAAATATGATGCTGGTTCTTCTTTATTTTTTGAGCCAAAGTTATTAAGGCAGTACCCATCAGACATCACTTTGAGACAGCTTTTTTTTTTTTTTTTTTTTTTATCAGAAATGTTTTCCTGCTACTCTTGTATACATTATTGTTCCATCATACAGACTTACTGTAGTGCTTTGCCATGCCCCAGTTTTCCTTTGTCAATACACCAGTACATATAAAGACAGTACATACTGCAGGTTGATCCATCCACATTCCTCAGAAGTCATACACACAACCAAGAAGCGGGTGTGGTGGTTTCTAGCATGAAAAGTTCAGTACAGTTGTTGACGCACTGCTGTTCACCTTCACTAGCAATTTTCTCTTTAGTGTTGCTTCAGAGCAGCAATAGTATGCCATGCCTGTTTTGGACAAGCCTGTTGAGGGAAGTAAACTGCAGTTTGTCATCTCTGCTGCAGTGTGACTTCAGAGTCTCCTCCCACAATGCATTTCTTATCAACACACTGGGATGGTGATTCAGTTCAACAGATGACGCACCTTTCATGTTACTTGTAGCGTTTCTACACTAGTATTGCTAGTATTGCACTTTGTGGCAAAAACAAGTTGACAAACGGTGCACTCACCACATTTTCCCATCAGAAAGTTATTGATGACCTCAACAGCTTATTCATGTTGCCACATCAGTGCTACAGTAAAACATTGCAGTGTTGTACGCTTGATTCAATTTTTAAATGGATGGTAATTTACAAATATGAATGCTCTAACCCTCTGCACCCTTGTCTTTATATCAAGTGACCCCAAGAGGAACTCTGGCTTATTGGTTTCTGAAGCTGAAATTTAAAGGAGTAGATCTTCTATATACATATCAGTATTAAAGACTGAACTCTCTGTAAAGCAACTGAAACAAAGAGAGCTTTAAAGAGAACAGTTTATTCAGTAAGCCATTTTTATTTACAATTGTATGTAGATTTTTATATTTTTAAGTGCACTAACATGCACATTGAGATCTGCTGTACCAGAGTCAAATTCCTCGTGTGTCCAACACACCCAGCCAATAAAGCAGATTCTGGTTCTGATTGTGTCTGCCTCTCCACAGAGGGAATCCCTCAGGTGTACTACTTTGGTCCATGCGGAAAATACAACGCCATGGTGCTGGAGCTGCTTGGACCCAGTCTAGAGGACCTGTTTGATCTCTGTGACCGCACTTTCTCCCTCAAGACCGTCCTCATGATAGCCATACAGCTGGTAAGACCTGGAAGAGGAGAGCAGCAGCCATGTGTTTAAATAAAAAAGCTTTTGTGATTTCAAACTTGACAGAAAATATAGTGCAGCTATCAGTACATTTATCAGTGGAGGGAATGCTCAGGTGTTTTATGCAAAGCAGGGTGCAAACAACAGGTCTTAGAGTTTGGGGTGATTGGGGGGGGTTAATGTAAAAGAACTACATTTGCATGCCAGAAAACGGCTAATGTACTTAATAGCTAATAGTCATTTATATACTTTTAAGCAAAATGTTTGTCTTCAAACTGCTGAAGTTTTGAGTGACCACTTTAATCTGGAAGATATCAAATATTTTCAGCTTTACCTGAACATAATATTTACTAAATAACTGTTTACTCTGTTTACTAAAATCATCTTTCCTCAACATAGCCTCAGTTAAACATTGCAGGGTGATGTTTTATAATTTAAAATTGTATCTTCCTTGTGCTAGAATACTTTCTCTCTTTTTGTTTGAAAATTGCCTTGATAATTGAGTGGTTGAAAGTTCCATAGACTAGGCATGATTGGTTTATTGCTCATCTAGATAACACGGATGGAGTATGTCCACACCAAGAGTCTGATATACAGAGATGTGAAGCCAGAGAACTTCCTGGTTGGTCGGCCCGGAAGCAAGAGGCAGCACACCATCCACATCATTGACTTTGGTCTGGCCAAAGAGTACATAGACCCCGAGACCAAAAAACACATCCCCTACCGGGAGCACAAGAGTCTGACTGGGACGGCGCGCTACATGAGCATCAACACACACTTGGGAAAGGGTAAGAGAGTCTCTGGAAGCAGGCTGTGGTTTGATTAGCCCTTTAAATATGCACAGGCAAGTTTTAGTTGTATTTACATTCAGTTTAATGGGGATGTCCTAACAGCTTTATGTACAGATACGTGTGCACAACACTGTAAACAAGTACCGTTGTGTTGTGCATACAGATATTCCCTTAACTTTTTGAAGTTACTGTGCCTAAGTTGTTTCTTGAGATCAGCATTTTAGTTTTCTGTCTTGCCTCTCTTTAATAAACTGTTAAGATTTATCTTTTGTATAGCTTCATTTCTTTGGCACTTTGATGCAGTTTCTATTTCATGAAGCTGCTGTTTTTCCTCTAGCTGTGGTGGCCAACTACATGCCATGGAGAGTGAACAGTCTGTGTGTTTTAAATGCAACCGATCACCTCGGGATGATTTCACTGATTAGTTCTTCCCCTCTACTTGAAGGAGTGCTAATCAGTGCGAGAAGTGTTTGGTTGGAATAAAAATCTGCAGACTGTTGGTTCTTCATGATTGAACACTCCTGCTCTAGGGCTTAATCATGGCCTTTTACACTGTACACGGTTCATTTTAACTTCTTATTAATTCTGCAGTCGTGCCATATTTCCTACTGCCCAGTTGGCTCCTGTCCTTGCCAGCTGGTTATAAATGAAATTTGTCTTTCACAGTGAACCTAATTTTTGTTTTTCATCTGTTCTGTTAATTCCAGAGCAAAGCAGAAGGGATGATTTGGAGGCATTGGGTCACATGTTCATGTACTTCCTTCGAGGTAGCCTTCCATGGCAGGGCCTAAAGGTACTGTAGCGTATTGTTTGGCATCATCCACTTAAACCCACAGATGTTTGTTTGGTTTTTTTTTAACCTGATCGACTCTTAGTTTCAGCCACATACAAAAAACTATTATGTACTCTTTGATTGTATATGTAATCATCTGTGGAGATAATGCTTGGTACGGCCATGTTGTGATGAGTCATCGCGGGTGGCTTCATTCACATTTCCAGCCCATGAGTTTCCATTGTGTTTTGGTTAGCCATACTGTTAATGTAGTCTACTCTATGTAGCACCAGTTTATACCACCGGTGTGTTGGAATTGATAAAAAAAACACTTTAATATCCCACAGCCTAATAAATGAAAACACATGGCATGTTGTTGTGATGCGTTTGTAACTATGTCCCCTGTATGTGGTTGATCAATGCAGCGCCTTTGTCGGATGATATCACTGTCCAGTGTGGCAAAGGTTGAATCATATCCAACCTTTTCACCGTATAGTGCTGTGTTTAGCCCAGAGCCCCCTGTGGTGCTGGTGCTGGCTGCAGTGAACACAGTCTCCCACAGAGATGAATGGGAGAAGGCTGTGTTTTTTCATACCTTTGAATGCGGCCTAATGACTCACCTGCCAGCCAATCACAATCAAGATTCCCAGCGGCTACAGAGTAATGATTGTAAATTTTGTTTTAATTTTTGAATTGGCAGTTTGTTAATTTTTTGTGTGTCAAGGCCACACACTAGTTGTTTCTATTTTAATAACAGTACCCACTATGTGTACCCACTATCAGATCCATACACAAAGCTACTAGAAAAACTAGAAAGTGGACCCTTTATACATGTTGCAGAATCGCATGCAACATATATAAAATGTAAAATTCGCTTAAGTACATTCTTTGCATCTACACAATATACTGAAAAATTGCTTAAACAAAGCATGATCACAGGGGCCAGGAGGTCAGGTTATAGTCTGCTGCAGGGTCGCTGAGCTTTTTGAAGGCTTCAGTATTAAAGGTGTCCATACAAAAGACTGCAGGACAAGATGGCTCATCTCAACAGTTGCTATGTAGGAGGAATCTCTTGGTAGATGAATGAGATATTTGTATGAATGTGGGGGATGAATGCCAGAACAACTTCTTACTGACTCATGACAGCATCAAAATACAGTGAAACAGTTCAGTGACCAGATATGGAACCTGTTGAATATAACAGTATACAACCCTTGAGGATACCTCTTATTATTATTGGTATGTGTAGAGCAATGTTTAAAGCAGTGTGAACAATCCAAGGAAACAAAACAGTCATATAATTGTATAATCACTACAATCATATAATGCCTATAACTTCACACTGGTGCCAAAGCATGCCTCAGCTTTATAGCAAACAAGAACAACCCATTCAAAGCCATCATGTGTCCCCAAGGAGATGAGACTTCAGATCAGGCTTTCCACAAGACAATGCTCCCTGTTGTAATACAAGAATCATCCTGAGGAGGGTGGAGAACCACTCAGTTTATTCAGTGGGTGTGAACCAACCCTACAGTCCCCCTGATTTAGAAACGGTTGTGATTTTTGTACAAAGTACCATTGTTTACATAGCTTTTAATCTTGTATCCTACAGGTCCTTTGAGTCACTGCCAAAAAGGCTCTGGCAGTGCACTGAACAGGGGTTTTGCATCTGTCTGCAACACAAGTGTACAATCTAAAGCACTATTTACACTGGCCACAGCTATGCATTTACTCAAAATGTGAGTATAACATGTATTTTTCTTCCACAACTGTCTCTGTCATAGGCTGACACTTTGAAGGAGAGGTATCAGAAAATTGGAGACACCAAACGAGCGACACCAATTGAAGTGCTTTGTGAAAGCTTCCCTGGTGAGTAGAACCTTTGTTTACTGTGTTATTTAATATCATCCTTGTTTGAAACCTAGTTTGTTCTTATTTAATAATATGCTGTCTTTTGCTACAGAAGAGATGGCCACCTACCTGCGTTATGTGAGGAGGCTGGACTTCTTTGAGAAGCCTGATTACGACTACTTGCGAAAGCTCTTCACTGATCTGTTTGACAGGAATGGTTACGTCTTTGACTATGAGTATGACTGGGTCGGCAAATCACTTGTGAGTGCCTTTAAAATTATTTGATTGGTCTGTCAAGTCTCATGCAGTTGCTTTATGGCTCTTGTTGTGTCATTAGACCATAACAGATTGTTTTCACAGACCCTGATATCTAAAATTGCACACACTTTGGATCACTGTAGTTTTTCTCATGTTTCTGTTTCCCTGAAATTGGCTTCATTTTGACACCAAGATTGGTTCCTTGTGTTTCTCACAGCCCACACCAATAGGCCCTATCCCCAGTGACACACCCCTGCAGCCCAGCAGCAGAGACAAAGCACAACAGCAGACCAAAAACCAGGTGAGGTTATCAACATTAAAACACAACAACTACTCCCACCCACCAATCTACCTTCCCGACCCATCGACTGACGACCGACCGACCAACCAACCATGTCGTTCACGTTCCTCTGCCAAGCTGCTCTTGTTGTGTCCAAATGTAAGCAGCGTCCTGGAGAACATGGCTGCTGTTCTGTTGCACTTTTCCTTCATTCCTCTTCCTGCCTGCAGTCTGACTGCGCCTGACCCTTTTCAGTCTTTGGCTGACAACAAGACTTATAAAAAGAACGCCTTAGTAATACATTAGCCAACATGATGCACAGTCATGAGACAGACTCTGATGCTCCAGTTGTGAAACATACCTCTGTTTTTGGCTACAATTTGTTCTTCACACCTTGCCACTCTACGCTCCAGTCATTGCATGCATGAGTTGAAAATGCAATTTGCATTCTTCATACTAGTAATGACAGGCTATGTGCTTAGTGTGTGACAAAGTGTAGACTTGTTGTTTTTCCTTTTTATTGGCATGCTGTCTTAGCCTTGTGGTGTTCGTTAACAGGGAAATAATTCAACAGTTCTGGTGTATAAAATCATTCTGATAGACAGAAATCATGGCACAAGCCCCGCTGTTGTACTTGCTGAGTCATTGTTTCCTGTAAAGCCATACAGAGTGCATTAGATTTTATGACCGACTTATCACCCTGGACTTGAGTCTCTTTTTTTTTTTTTTTTACTGCTCTCCATTTAACGTGATTGGCTTGGTAAAAACTTGCCACTGTTTGGAGCGTGCAAAATACCGTACCATGCATTTTGCTTGTGACTGTAAAAACCTGCAACATCCAGTGTCACCATTATGGCTCACAAAGCCTCCATTTAAACTCAGATAATGCAGACACCTGGTACTGGGGCTGGGCAATATGGCCAAAAATATTATCATAGTACATTTTTTCATATTGATCAATATCAATAATTCTCAGTATATACATGTAATGCCATTAATGATTGAGACAAATCTGGGATAGATCACAACTTTGTTATGCTTCTAAATAATCACTTGTGCTTTTACAGCCCTCATTTTCAAACATTTATGCATATAAACTCTGCTGTGCAGCTAGTCGACCACTTTCATTAACTTTTCAAATTTGGTATGTCCTCCTTTCTCACTGGCATCTTTTCTTTTGTCATGAAATATGAAACTGCACTTGCTGTGTTCATGCTTCTTTTTGAGCTTTTATCATGTCAGGTGATGACTGAAATGGTCGATAGGAGCATCTGACGTGAGCTTGGCTGATAGCCCTGCGGGTGGGGAACAGATTTTCTGTATATTGGAGAAAGTAATCTTAACTTTTTGAATGGGGGAAGGTATTGTGTTGTTATTTCCTAACAGGTTGCAGCTATTTTCGCAGCGGATGTTGCTCAGTTTTATATCCAGCTTTAAAAATCTAATTCATTTCCAAAATAACATTGTTATGTGATCTCTTCTTTCCAAACTTTTAGTCCTGTGCAGCCGTCCTCTTCACTGTGGCATATTATTTACATTTCCAGCTGCGCGTTGACCTTGTGTTAGCCCTACACATGTCAGCTACTTAGCTCTAGTGCTGTGATCTAACACTATGATTGTACAGCAAGGTGCTCAAATGTGGAACAGACGCATTTATCGATCAGAAATTGCGTATTAGTTTATCATTGTTATTGAAGAGATTTTTTTATCTTAATAGTTTTCATTTGTATCATCCAGCCCTGCATGGTACCATAGGCAGTTATGTGTTGTATTGAATAGGTAGTACTAGCTGAGGTGACTAAGGCTGATTTCTTTTATTCCTGCATGACTATTATTGTGTTGTTCTGTGCGTCACATAAATTATTACTCCCCTCTACTCCTCTATTAACATAGTTTGTCTTAACAAGCCTGCTTCTGCTTGGGAGATGTCTTCTATAATTTTTTTTTTGTTTGTTTTTATTCACTCCCCCTCCTCCCTACGCACCTCTACACTTACCCCCTCCCATCACATTGCCTCACCCTCACCTCTGGCCCTCACCCCACAACTTTCTTTCCCCACCACCCCCTCTCCTTCTCATCATTTCACAACCACCTGCCTCAACCCTTTTTGCTCTTTGCGTCAAGTCGCCTGAACCCAAAGGAAGTGAGTCTCAGCCCACTCCCGTGACCAATAAGGAGACTCTGGGGTCGCACCTCACAGCTGAGCGGCTGGGGGGCTCTGTTCCGGTACTGCTGCTGCTGCTGCCGGCGCTGCTTTGATGGCTAATGCATGAAGCCACCTAGTCTTGTATGTGTTTTATTCCCCCTCACACTGACTTTACACCGCCTGACCTGTCAGGTGCTCTGTCTTGACTCTCTGTGTGTGTCTGCATCAGACTGTCTAAATCCCTGTGTGTCAGTGCTCTGTCTGTTCTCTTTGCTCTTGCTGCTTCACGCCGCTCATCTGCTGTAGGCAGCTCGCAGGAAGGGCCACGCAAAGATGACATCCAGCAGCAACTGTCATGCAAATACAGATTTATACATCACAAGAAGAACACAAACAAAAAAAAAGTTCAGTAGACTAAATGTTTTTGGGCTAATTTCTGTATGAAAATTATGCCAAAAGGCCACCTGTAAGCAGCAGAAACCCCAGGCCCCCATAGTAATAGTGGAACAAACCTGCCACCTAGTGTTGGGTAATATTGCAGCTTTTAAAGGATCTGTCCACATTTTTCCAAGTCTGTCTTTAAACAGTATTTACATACCTATATGTACATTGAAAAAGATTTTGTTTGCTGTTATCATGCCTCTTGTTATAATGTATTTTCAGTGGAAGTGATTGGTGACAAGATTCACAATCCTCAATCTGTGCAAAACTGTTTCCAATTTTAATTTGTTTCTAATATGAAGCTGCAGTTGTCTCAGTTCAGTCTGATGGGCATCTTCCAAAGTTACCAACTGTTTCTGTGCTCCATCAATTACTTGGGAAGCACATTATAAAAGGTCAATATGAACAGGTTGAATGATCACAGCAAGCAAAACCCGTTTCATACAGTGTTCATACTGGCACTTGACTATTGTTTTAAAAAAAGAGTGAAACAATGTGAACCTGTTTTTATAAACTTATATGAAGTTGCTTTAGTTGAGGAATTTCAGGTTACATTACATGTACCTGCTCTCCTTATCTGAGATGACAAGTAGATAAACAAGGTAACATATTTTTATGTGAATGTTAATCTTTACTCTGCAGGCAGTGGCTCAGAGAGTGTGTGTGTGTGTGTGTGTGTGTGTGTATGTGAGTTTGAGCAGTCTGATAAACCTTTTGTCCTCATGCAGGTGATGAGCTCAACGAACGGCGAACTGAACACTGATGATCCCACAGCCGGACACTCCAACGCTCCCATCACTGCTCCCACCGAGGTTGAAGTGGCTGACGAAACCAAGTACGAAACAACCATCCACGTGTACAGAAAGCAGTTTGTTGTTTCCAGTGCCTCGACTCTAGCGGCAGCGTTGAGGCTCCATAGCTTCAGCTTACATCAAATAACCACTGCATACACATAACGTTTATTGCAGATGTACATGTTTACTGAGAAATGTCACAAATGCAATCAAATTTGGGATTTTAGGATTTGAATTTGTATTATTCAAGTAATTATCTGGAAAATAGATTATTTTCCCCTGGCCTTAGTGATAGTGCCAGGCTATATGAAACTGGTGAAGTTTGAGGAAATAATGTTTCCTTTTTTTAAATTAAGTTTATTATTTATTATCTTATCATTTGTCTTAGTAGTGGAAAGAAAAAATAATGTAGTGATTTTCCCAAGTTTAGTGGGGTACAGCAACAAACACTTGTGGGCTTATTGCTCTACATTGTTCATATTCACACAACAAGGAGTAAACGTCACTCGGCGTAGAGCAGCGGTTGACTCATGGATGTATTAATTGATAAGGCCGGTCATTTTCTATATTACTAGTGTTTTCTGCAATCTCCATCCAGGGACTAAAACTGACAGTGCCTCTGCTCACGATTAGCTTGTACGTCTGGGTGTAATTGACTCCTCTTTGGTTTTCCTGCAGGTGCTGTTGTTTCTTCAAAAGGAGAAAGAGGAAAGCCCTCCAGAGGCACAAGTGAAACAAGAGTGGAGAGAACTTGAAACATTGTGGTCACTGTCAAGTTTTAAATGGAAGCAACTACACAGGACCCCCCCACCCCCAAGCCTCCCCTTCACCTCTTTACCCCTCTTACCTTTCTGCCCCTGTCACTCTGTACCTGCCCTTCCCTCGCGCTCTCTTTCTCGTTCTCACCGCTCCCCAACTACTGGCAAGATAAAGGAACGTTGCAGTCCTTCTGACTTCACAACAGACTCTGGATTCCTTTGTCGATGAACAATAAACGTACCTGCATTACAAAGTTGGGCTTGAGAAAAAGTAAAAAAGCTGTAACAATGAAAACTCAAATACCGTGGCGTGAATATGAAAAAAGATACTGATTGACACAGTTGTATTCTAGATTCCATAAAGTTGTTCGATCAGGGGAAACCATTCAGGTGGTTCGAGTGAAAGAAATCTCCTGTTTAATTATTTTCTTTTCTTCCTTTGGCGTGTTTTGGGATCAAGGTAAAGCATAAAAGGTGAACTATGCTGATGTTAAATCTGAGAGACACAGGAAGCATTTCATCTATAAACCAGAATTTGGACAATTTTATGTCTTTTTTTTGTTTTGTTTTTTTTGTTTTGTAATTGAAACCTCAGATTTCAAACTCAAATCCCTGCATTGAGAACCTATTATGTTGTAGTGCTCTGGAGTTCAGTTCTTTTCCTCACTCTGGCTTTCTTCTCATCTGTCAACATGGACTCTGTAGCACAGTCACTGGCCTCAGGTACTGTGGAAGATTGAGAGAAACCGATATTAAGCTCTTTTATTATTATTGCACTTTTGGAAAGAATAATTACAGTGGAAAACTTTAGGTTTGAAATTAACAATTAAGAAAACAACTTAATAAAGGCTGATCTAGGAGGAGTCCTTCACAACGCTTATATCTGAGGTATGGCCGAAAAATGTTTCAATTTACATGGAAACAAAAAAGATATGTCTTTTGATTTTTATTTCTTACATCAAAATAATTTACCAGGAAATCATAGTTTGTGCCTTTCTAAGTAAAATGTTTAAAGCTCAAGTGAGTGTCCCACAATGACATTTTATCTAATTTGTCCCAAATGCTCACTTACTGTGTGTGTGTGTGTGTGTGTGTGTGTGTGTGTGTGTGTGTGTGTTTGTGCCTGCCTGCAAATCTGGACGCTTATGCAATTGAACATGTGTTATGGCTGTATACATCAGTCCTTTGCTCTCATTTGTAGGCAGTGTACATTTGTCTCCTTGCATACTCTGCTGACAATCAACACATCTCTATCCAGGAGGTGTTTGTGTGTGTGTGTCGTGTTGCCAGCTCAGATCAGAACAGAACAGAACAGACAACAGCCCAACTCTGAACCATTGTTTCATTTGTCAGGAGGTCACAGATGGGCACACAGCTGGCTCATAATGTACATCATGGCTCTGAAGTTATCCAGATTGGAAGTCACAGTTGTCCTTATTAAGAGATACTCATCACTGCGAACAACTAGTCTGATGTAACGTTTTGTTCATTTGTGTCCTTTTTGAGATGTATGTCTGACCTTGCTCCTCTCTATGCAGCCAGTTTTAATATCCCCTAAAGCTTCTAGGTCATCATAGATCGCAAGTTTTGTATCTTTGAATTGTTTAAAGGAGTATCCAGCGATTTTAATGGTTGTTTGGGGCTCACCAGAAACGGGTGAAAACAGTGGCTGGAACTGAGGCAGCAGAAACCAAGCTGTCCTGATTTTTATGCCCAGTGTATACATCATCCAGCTGCACTTTGTTTTAGCTGGAGCAGTGTATGTCTCTGAAGCATGAAATTCACTTAAAATCTACACTGATCAGCCATAACATTATGACCAATGACAGGTGAAGGGAATGTGTGAGGTATATTAGGCAGCAAGTGAACATTCAGTCCTCAAGGTTGATGTGTTGGAAGCAGGAGAAATGGGCAAGTGTAAGGATCTGAGAGACTTTGACAAGGGCCAACATTTGATGGCTCACGACTGGGTCAGAGCATCTCGCACACTGCAGGTCCTGGTGGGTGTTCTTGGTCTGCAGTGGTTAGTACCTACCAACAGTGGTCGAAGGAAGGACAAGCAGTGAACCAGCACCGAAGGCTCAAGGATGATGAGGTTGATCTACTGTAGATCAAAATTTTACATTTCATTCATTTTTTTTTCCAAAAGATTCCATTTAGTTTAAATCTTTGTTAAAATGGTTGAAAATGAGAAATACTGTACGTTGGTCTCTATGAAGAGGAACATTCAGTGGCTGTAGTGGAGATATCACACACAGACCGGGTAGGCTGCTCAATTTGTCTAACAAATTCTCTATAACTTCTCCTCATGACCAGTTTTCACTCCTTACATGAGTTGGCATAAGTTTTTCACTCACATTTCAGCTTTTCCTGACAGTAGAACTATGGAAACAAACAGAGCTACAGGGTGACACGAGTACCAGCCAACTGCTGCTTTGGGTGGTCATAATGTTATGGCTGATTGGTGTATAGAAAATATACATTTAAGGATGCATTTCATGGTTTTGACTGCATTCTTACAGCAACACTAGTTGTATTGTGTGCAGTTAAATTGTGACCTGGCTGGATTAACCTCCTGGGGCAACGTGGTGTTGGCTCCCATTTGACCCTCATACTTACATGGCAGCTTTATTGTTTGCCCACACACCAAGAAACCAACCAGAATTAATCTAATCTATTCGATGGCTGACAAAAAATGAATGGTAACAACTCTGATATTCCAATAATCATTTTGGCATTTTTAACCACAAAAAGTGAATATTTGCTAGTTTTCTATAGTCCGTGAAACGAAAAAGCTATTTGAGATTTATCATGGCAGTGATGAAGTATATTTTTTCACATATTTTAATAGTCTAAACAGTCATGATGGAGCAGTACTACCTTGCCTGAGGATTTCTGTGTCAAGTAATTAACAGAAAAAAGAAAAGAAATGGTAAAACCATTTACAACAAACAACCACAATATGAACTATAACGGTTAAGGTCTTCTGATTAGAGCTGTCATAGCTGATACTGTGCTTCATGGTAGGGACTTTAAAACAAATCTGAGTTATGGTATTTAGTATATAACGCAGCCAAATTTACAAATGGTCTACGTGCTTTGTTCCGTTTTACGTATTTTTGCTGCTCAATAATGTACTGACCGGCAGTCATCACCAAGTTTCTGAGCAGAAATAAAACCACTGTTGTCCGTATTTTAAATGTCAGAAAGTTGGAAGCAACAGAAAGACATCCATGTGCAGCCAAAAAGCATCTGTTGCCACATTGAAATAAGCTGTTGTATTAATGTTTGTAAAGCACAGAAAATGTTGGCTAAACAACAGATAAAAGTGTGGCTTCTGAAGGACAGATGCTCTGCTCCCTCAGTGTTTCCAGCAGACCGATGCTTTGTACATTAAGCTCCAGAAACCTACATTTCACACAATGCAACTAAATGGCACATTTCATTAGACCTTTATTGCTTTTCAAACAGCTGCTTCTTTCAACCCCCACAAGCCAAAGCAATGTTCCTGTTAAGTTTTTGAATTTGAAGCCCAAACAGATGAGTAAACTGATCTTGATGTATGACCCAAAAGACTTCCAGTTTAACTTGTGATGTTACACAGCAGTGAGTGAGCAGCATGTCACCGCTGTGACCTGGAAAAGGGATGATTAGTTTGTTTTCCACTAAACCAGTACAGTAAATGTACAAATCAATCCATAAATATTTGACATCAGAGACCTGCTTTCCTGACTCAATTTCAGATTTGATGCCAGTTTAGCTTCTACAGGATTCACCCAAACACAGCAGGGAAACATTTAAAATATTTGGAGTAACTTATGATAT